GATATGTCACCCTCATTTCTTCTTCAAAATCTATGAACTAGTTCGGATGAAGGACCGTAGTCACAACAATCTTATCGAATCCTCTTTCATAGTTTTATCCATAAAATCTATAGATTAATTCCAAATGAAGACAGATCAAGATCACAATCGTCTCAAAAGAATATTCTCTATAGTTTTCAACCAACAGTTTTATCATTCAAATCTTTCAAACTCAAGAACAATCTATTCTTTTAAGGATTTCCAAAAACATCATATCCCTTTTAAATCCTCAAAATAGGATATCATTTGCAAAACTGTTTTAAAGAAGCAATCTCTTCTTTATCTTTTTCAAAATAGTTTTTAATACTCAAACATATAACAACAACACCTTTAAACTATCAAAATAGTTTTACCATCTTTTCTTCAAAACCAATATCAAAACCCAGCAGTTTATATAACAAAATATATAAAGATTTTAGTAATAAAAAACTCAGTGTATAATCAACAGTATTTTTAAAACTCACAGTTTATAATCAACGATATTTTAAATACTCACCTTAACAAATCACAGATTTTGTAGTTTTAAAACATACCGCAAATCACAAGCTCTTCAAACGGCTTTGAGCAAAAGATTTGTTCAAGAACACTTCTCACCGCCACAACACTCCTTTTCTTTTTCAACAGATTTTTCTTCAAATGAAATGATAAGATAGAATCTTGTCTTTTTATTTCTTTAAATACTCTCACCATGGCGGTGAAGATTATTTTAATTATAAAACTCATAGGCGGTGAAAGCTTTAACCAATAGAAATAATCTTGGGTGGTGGGTTTTTCATTATAAAATTCATGATTTCTTAACCATGAAGATATAAGTTTTTAAATAATATAATAATATTTCCACCAGAATAACTTATCACAAATAGGCATCACCTCATGTATGTTTCACACCACATGCATACATGTATAAATCATATATGTCATGCCATCTTTTCACATATATGCATGCACAATATCATGTTCATATTTCACATATATATATATATATATATATATATATATAGTTCATGCATTTCTACTTAGATATGCATATTTCACGTAATCCACATAATAAACATGTATAAATTACCTCAACCCAGGTTGTCTCAAACCTGGTTATAACAGATAGTGGATTGATCAGTGTATACTTACACTAGTCTCCATTTGTTAGCAGTCTGAAATATTTATGTTATATAATACTCGTAACAATACACGAGAAAATTTTACTAACACATTGAAATTAATCATTTGCTAAGTTGTACAATTCATAATCATGGTGGAATAATACAATGCACAACCACAAGAAAAACATACCTGAAAAATGTGGAAAACAGTACTTTTATCATAAATAGTTGACCTAGAATTGCAATTGCGAACACAAGGCCACAATTGCGGACCGAGCATTCTTACGGACCTGACATCTAATTACGGGCTGGAAATAGGGTTTTGATCGGGTGCTGACTCGTGACACATCTGCAATATTGCATGTCATTAGGATGTTGGCTGATTTTGTAAAAAAATTGTCCTTTAGCCAAGTCCTCAACTTGCAGACTTGGATATTGCGGATGTAATGATTTGGGTCAACCCGGAAGAGAAATGGCTATGAAACCAATTTAAAATAATAATTAACTTTAGGTTCCGTTGTTTTTGTAAATAATTTTAAATTTTGGAGTTTATGATGAACATAAACTTCATATCCTTGATTTACAAAAACGTTTGACATCCCGACGCATTGCACAAGTACCCAAACTATGGGTTGGTTTCCTGTGAGAATGAAAGTTATGATGAGAAGAGTGAGAAGAAATCTCCACCATTTGATCAACCATAATTGAAGATCAACACTAATGAGATGTTTTAGATCCATTTCCGTGAGAAGCACAATTCATAGAGTAGGAAGGAGATTAAAAATGATCAATAACCCAGATCTTTTCTTACGCTTCTCACCTTCACTGCTATTCTCACATAATATTTCGTCCCCAAACTAGTTAGTAAAAACACACTTGTCGGCTTAAGCCACGTCTTGAGAAACATCACGACTTACCGCCATGCTATGCCATAACCCTTCATTGTTAATTGGAGTGTTGTACATTCAAAACATAATCCAAAAAGTAAACCATAACGAAAGTAAGCATCTCTCATTGTGCAAAATTCTGAAGGTTCTTTTTTCCATTTTGTGCGTAAGAGTAGCAGATCATAGAGAGATCAAGAATTAACACATGAATTATGATCCTTGTATTGACGTCTCCCCAAGAAAACTGATGCGCAAATGATATAAGTCACTGTTGAAGCAACAATAAGCACCCCAACAAGGACACAAACAGTCGTCACTACAATGTACATGTACCTGGGCGCGGTAATGGCATATTAATTAAATTAACGAAGAAATTGCATAATAAAACTGAAATAGGGTATCATAATATATGATTATAAGCATTAATGGACCATCTAGGAACTAAAGGGGAAGACTTACTTTGGTGAAAAGACGGTCCATATAAATAGATGGTTCCTCATTAGCAGCAGTATGATCGTGTATGCAACCAAAAGTAGAGAATTCAAGGCCAGCGGAACCAGACAAGGGAAACCAAGAATCATCTTGAAAAGTTGTCCCATATTTGCTTCCCGAAGAGGGTTTATATCTTTCATAGAGATTGACATAACCATGCTAAGGAGAGCTAACATTGGAGATGCATATGTTATCGCAAACATTATCAATCCACTCAGCACTGTTGAGTGACTAGAGATTCCCTGACAATTTTGACGAGGATGGTACAACAGTTACAAAAGATACAAGATTAAGGTTTTGCTTAAACAGAAAATCATTGGTATTCAACTCATTAAAGATAACATACGATGAAAGCTCTAGCAACATCAATGGTAGCTAGGGTGTTGGTGTTTCCAAGACTGAAATGGCCGGCCATTCCCAAATAATACAGTGCAGCAATCTGGATAAAAGAAACAAAAAATTAGTGATTGGAGAACTTGCAAGCAGAATAAGATCATCGGAAAGTATCACAAATTTTATGCAATATTTTTTCTCATGCAATGAGAGATATACAAAGTTGACCACAAATATTTCATAGCACTAAACATGGTAGAGTGCTATATTGTGTGGTTATTTGATATATAAAGGTCTCATTCACCATCATATCTAGCTTCAATATTAATGGTTGTTTAAAGGGGAAAAGTAATGAAATTCAGATCATAAACATGCCCCCTGCTAACCAAGAAAGATCAGCTTAACAACTTACAGGAAAGCAAAATGGAGCAAGACTAGATTTAAATTAACCATACCATGCAAATGCAAATATTAGCAATTCGATATGCTTTAGATGATAAACATGTCTACTACAAACTAAGGAAGATCAGCTTAAAGATTGTCACGAAAAACCTCCAAGTGCAAATAGAAGTATTAGTCTTTTTTCTGTTTAGCACACGGCATGCATCCTTTACTACTTCAAGATAAAATCAATCTAGCGCTCAGATAAAAAGCTCATATATTCAAGTTTCTTGCATCCAAAAATGTTGGTGAACATTCAGGCATAATACTTGAATGCATTACAGAGATCTGAGAATTGACCTCAATCCACTGCTTAACATCTGCACCACCATGAGAAGCATAATAAATGGTAGCAAGTATTTGTATGAGAAGCAGCGAAATAGGCATCAAATTGACAGGTTGTTGTAGCAAAAGTTGCAGAAGACACCAGCCAAACATGTATGTTGTCCCACTAAGGAACAAAGAATCTTTAATCAACAAAGACAGATCCATGCTTTGAAAGTTGGAAGTGAGATCTTGTAAATCAGTATGAGAGTTCTGAAATGACAAAACCCATGGTGATGCAATAACAGTTCCTGTTGTCAACATAACAAGAAAAGCGTAAATCAACCGTGCTGCTAAGCTTGCATCATTATCAGATGCTGCAATTCCACTACCCTGATACTTTATGACATACTGTAGAACCAGCAAACCGGCACATAAGTAGCTTAGTTCAATCACAATGATGATATAACTCTTTGACCATAAAGAAGAAAGAGCATACAAACATAAGCTGATTACAAGCACCACGGAGAGGAGTTGGAAAGATTTGATGCAGCTACTCCCAGCCATCTCAAGTGACTTTGAAATGTCAGGAAGGTGAGTCCAGTTAACACCACCTTGATGCCAGCCTCTCAAAATCCTTAGGGAAATGACAATAACTGCAATAGAACATAGTTGAATGCAGGTTCTATTGCCATTCCCCATGCTTGAATTAAGTAGATTCGATAAATCCCCACCCTTAGTAGACTGTATTGTTTGCCGGAGTAATACCAGAAAAAAGGTTGAGGTCATAAAATGCCATAGATACTGCTCTTCTTCAACCAGAGAGCTTGATCCCATGCTCAACACAATAACTACCATAACAACCACTGCCAAAACCTCAGCCAACTGGAACTTGTAGATTTGTAAATTTGAGAGCGAAGGCTCTCTCCTTGGGTAAATTTCTTTGTCCAATTTGAAAAGTAGGCCCAACAACATGGCACATGATAAAAGCATTGCCATAATCCCTGAGGCAAGTAGGCCAATGGGTTTCTGCAGTGGGTAGAAAAGTTAATAGAATAAAGCGGAAAGAACGTACAACTCTAAAGAGATAAATCAGGTATCTATAGCTTGTCAACAGTAAGTTTGCATGTCACTAAGCAATGCTATTCCATCCCCTTTATCCATGTCAAACAAAAATCTGGATCTATTGGAATATGATATGCTTACGTCTGTTGCTCTGTGTGACAGCTGCTTGCTTGCTGTTCTTAGGAACTCACTGTATGCTAAGACGGTGCACAGAAGATCATCATTGCTAGCAGACCTATATGCAGAATTTTTGAAGACACTATTATTGCCATGAAATGACAACTAATTATGTGTTATATTATATGCTTCAGATGTGTACAACACATTGATGTTATACGACCCACCTTAAAGCATGCTTGGACTTCCAAGACCTATGGAGAGCAGCAGCATCGAGATATAAGCAAGAAGATATCTCCTCCAAACTACCTTCATATTCATCGAGGCCAGATGAATAATCCTTCTTAACAGCTTGACATATAAAACTTCCACAAGTAGAATCAGTTGATTGGGCTTGAAGTAACCTTAGCAACTGCCACGAATTCAGTTCCAGTACCCTTAGTAGCTGGTGGTCTGCAAAATTCAGAGCAGAATCAACCAAAAGTTCAAGATAAAAAGACGACATACATTTGTAAATAATTTTACGTACAGGATTACTATCTTCTGCCAATTTTAAGATATTGTATGAATGAAAATAGAATAGCTTTCATTTAACTCACCACTCTGATGTCTAATGCCATAACTACATGTTACAACTCAAGACTCCTTTCATAATACCTTTTCTTATTCTTTTAATTTAAGTGTTTTTGCACCCTTATTATTAACTAGAAAAATGAAAACCTTCTATAGGATGAAATAAGTCAACGATCAGATGGCCAGCATTGTTTTTGGGAATAGGTACACCAAAAAGGAGAGCCAATGTTGGAGCAATGTCAACCTGAACCAACAACATAAGAGGTCAAATAATAAGACTACCATCATTTAGGTATTCAGCCATAGAAAATAAACAGTAATGCTGGCAATGGAACATCGAGATGATACACAAGTAGAGCGTCACACACATAATGTTATCAGGTGATTATATACAATTACTCTAAAAAAGGCTACAGTATTAAATTATTTCAAAATTAACTGTTTCACACTTCTGTATCAATAAAATCCATTAGAGTGCAATTAACAACTGCAGCTGTAGGGATAATTCAAGACCTTCATGAAGATGATGGAGAAAACAAATCAAACCAAACCAAACAAGCCAAATATATCCTACTCGTAAGGGCCAACGAGATGTAGGATGTGCGCAAACGTTTCCTCTACCTGAAGAGGTAGAGGTTGATTCATGAAAGACCTCCGGCTTGCTAATTTTTTTTTTCCGTTTAGCTGAAAGTTTGTAAAATAATTTTTGAAAGTTTTGAAGATTTTGAAAAGTTATTGAAGTGGTTGAGCTTGAGGTAAAGGGAACTATTTGTAAAATATGAGCATGAGCAAACGGGCATAAAAAAGCTTAGGCCTTCCCCCAACCCACCCTCTACCTTTCCACCCCCGCCCCTCATCCACAAAAGCCATTACTCCCAACAAATAATCTGCTACTCTAGTCCAGCTTCTTCAAGAACTCCTATGAGAAGTCATGTCCTTGGAAAGATCTAAGGCCGCCATGTACAGCCTCATATACCCGTCCCATGTCCTCTTCATCCCACCCCTCCTCCCACCCCCTCAACTGTTATGCTCTCCACCCTCCTCATCAGTGTCGTCAACTATTTCCTTTAAACGTACCTAAGCCACCAAGATCTTCCTTCCCTCATGGTGGGAAAAACATGTCTCTTCATTAAGAGAACATTGTGGCTCACAAGTAGAGACAATTAAGCACTAATTAGACATGCTATTAACACAACAAATTTCATTATATATCTAACACTCCCCCAGTTGGAGCATATACGTCAGACATGTTGAAGTTATCACATATAGAGCTAATTTGTGACCACGATTGTAGCTTCGCCACTATATTATTAATCTAATCTCTTGAGCAAATACATAGTAGCTCTATACATGGATTTGATGAGAGGTTCCAAATACTTCTCACAGAAAATGACACCAACCTTGCATTGTCCGTTCATCAAAATCTAGTGCATAGAGATACCAATCTATGATTCATTTCTAAAAAAAATGACATTCAACCCTAAACCCTATATATATATAGTGGACGGAAGGAAATCAAATTATATCAAATCATAGAGGATTTGATTATAATCACTTTCCTTCTTATAGGATTAGAATTGATTGCATATATATTCCTTATATTGTCTTAGTCTTGTTGTATAAATATGGGTCATTTGTTATTCAAATAATATAAGAGAACATTTTCTCCTTTTCCTATGTATATCATATGGTATCAGAGCAGCCCTTCGGATCAGTCTCATCGTCCCAAGCATCTTCATCGTTCACATCTGCCACGAACACCATCAGGCGATCAATCGTCCTCGCAACCATCACCGTTTTCCAATCATCGATTTCTGATTTTGTTGGATTCTTTTCAATCAGTTTCATATGAGCATCCTATCCTATAGTCCAGTCCTAGTTCCACATAACTAGGTGATTCTACTCTCCCCTTTGTCTCCAATCAATTACTTCAACAATGACCACCACTGATGAAACCTCCTCTCAGACAAAATGGACTAATGATCCAAATTAGTCAAGTAACTCCAATGGGTCACTCTACAGCCCTGAAAATGGTTCTTTGCAAATCATAACCCACAAGCTTGAAGGCATAAATTATTTACAGTGGGTAGTCTGCCAAAATCGTCATCTGGTTATGTTGATGGAACAGTACCGTGCCCTGATCAGAAAATCACCAACGAATCAGCAACCACCGACAATCCAAGCTACATTCCGTGGATCTCAAACGATGCCTACATTCGGATGCTTATCATCTCTACTGTGTCTGAAGATTCTTATCAACACATTCAGGGAAAAACATCACGTGAGGTATGGTTATCTCTTGAAAGAGCTTATGCCCCCGTTACAGCCTCTCATGAATTTACACTCAAAACTCAATTGCTTAGAATCACCATGAAGGGTGATGAAAAACCGGCTGATTACCTAAGCCTGCTGAAGTTGATCGAATATGCCACTGCTCTAGCAAACATTGGAGAACCAATGAAGGACAAAGACCTAGTAATGCTAACTATCGCAGGGCTTCGAGAGGAATACAATGTCATTAAAGGCAATTTACTGACCCATTTACCTCTTGTTCGCTTCAATGAACTGCATGGTCTTTTGTGTGATCATGACTATGTTTTTACAAAGAACTTAACTCCACAAGCTTTCCTGGCCAACACTGCTCCAATACCCCAGCCACTAACGGCTGCTGCATCTTCGATTCAACAACCGAATCTCGATCAACTTCAGCAACAACTCCAAAGCATTCAACTTGTGGCTTCTCAACTTGGTTATCAATTAAACCCCCTTCCCACCCCACGAGCTCAAGCATATTATGGTTCTCGGTCCTTCAACAATAACCGAGGTGGTCGAGGATCTCGTGGTTCTTCTCGTGGCAACTCACGTAGTGGTTTCAATAATCGCCCTCGGGATAGCAATAGCTCCCGACAGTTTTCTTGGGCTTCAACCCACAACACAGTCTATGGCCATTGCAACAGGTGTGGCATAGGTCATCTACCGTCTCAGTGCCCAAATCAGCCGAACCAGTTTCATCCTACACCACAGGCCAATTTTACATCACACTCAGAGGCTGGCTTATCTTCTGGTCCTACATGGAAACCATATACTGGTGCAACTCATCATGCCACACCAGACCTATCTAGCATGGATAACTCAAAGGCCTACTATGGTAACGATTCTTTACTTGTTGGTAACGGTAATTCTGTACCCATTTTTCACATTGGTTCATCCAAAATATACTCACTAAACAAAACCTTTACCCTAACCGACATTCTTCATGTTCCTCAACTAAAACAAAATCTCTTATCTGTTCAAAAATTTTGCCTTGATAACAATGTTTTCTTTGAATTTCACTCTTCTTATTTTGTTGTCAAGGACGAGTCTACTCGCACTACCCTCCTTACGGGCCCCAGTGAACAGGGTTTATACTCCATTCGCCTTCCTCAACTCAAGTCTCTGCCGAAGGTTGCCTTCACTGCTGTTAAAGCTCCTTCGAACATTTGGCATCAGCGTTTAGGACATCCTCATGCTCAAGTTTTTCGTTCAATTGTTTCTTATTGTTCTTTACCCGTTTCGGATAAATTATCAAATACTTTAAGTTCTTCTTGTCAATTGGGAAAATCTTCAAAGWCATCTTTACCTGATTCCACTTTTCGTAGCAATAATATTTTAGATCTTGTTTACTGTGATGTTTGGGGCCCTTCTCCCGCGCCATCTCTTGATGGTCATCGTTATTTTCTTTTATGTGTTGACCATTTCACACGTTATATGTGGATTTATCCCTTAAATCAAAAATCTGATGTGTATATTGTGTTCACACAATTTATCACCATGATTGAACGCCAATTTAACACCAAATTAAAGTGTATTCAATCTGATTGGAGGGGCGAATTTCGGCCCCTCACCAATCTTTGTCGCAACCTTGGCATCATCCACAGAAGGTCTTGTCCTCACACCAGTGAGCAAAATGGCATTGTTGAACGCCGCCATCGTCATGTTGTAGAAACTGGTCTCACTCTCCTGGCTCAATCCAGTCTTCCTCAATGCTTCTGGTCCCCTGCCTTTGAAACAGCTGTATACCTCATCAATCGTCTCCCTTCTCGTGTCTCCTCCAACAAATCTCCTTTTGAACAAGTCTTCAAACGCAAACCTGATTATTCCTTCTTACGAGTCTTTGCTTGTCAATGCTTCCCTTATCTTCGTCCATACAATCATCACAAAATTGAATTCCGGTCCACTCCCTGCGTTTTTCTTGGTTACAGCACCGTTCACCACGGCTATCGCTGTTTTGACCCGTCTAATGACCGGATTTATATTGTCCGACATGTTCGCTTCAACGAACATGTGTTTCCCTACCAGCCTTCACCAACCCCACCACCACCATCCACTCCTCCTTACATCTTTATATTTCCTAACCCACCACCCGGTTTCCCACCCGAGCCTCCACAATCGCCTCCACCACCACCCCCTCCTCAATCTCTTCCTCAAGCTCCTCCTCACGAACCTCCCCAATCGTCTCCACAATCTTCACCATCACCACCTATTCCACCTCCTTCTGATGCCTCCCCGCCCGAACTTACCCATACTCCTCCAMCCGTCTCTCGACCTCGGCCTTCCAACCTTCGCCCCAATCCCAAACAACCTGACCGATATAACCCAGCCGCTTACTCTGCCACCGCTTCCTCACCTCTACCTCTTAAACCCACCAGTTTTACCGTTGCTAACAAGTCTTTAGAATGGCGCCAAGCAATGGCTGATGAGTTGGCTGCRCTTCATAGGAATRGCAYGTGGACACTTGTGCCCCCTGTTCCTAATGCTAATGTTGTTAATTGTAAATGGGTTTACCGGTTAAAAACTGATGAAAATGGAAAGATTACCACGAACAAAGCCCGCCTTGTGGCCAAAGGTTTTCAACAACAGCATGGCGTGGATTATCATAGGTTTCAGCCCCGTTATCAAGCCTGTCACTATCCTTACTGTCCTGTCTCTTGCTGTCACCAACAAATGGCCTCTCAGACAGTTGGACATTCAGACCGCATTTCTGCATGCTGATCTCAAGGAAACTGTTTACATGCGTCAACCTCCTGGCTTCATTGATCAAACCAAACCTGATCATATCTGCTTCTTACACAAGTCGTTGTATGGGCTCAAACATGCCCCTCGTGCCTGGTTCATAAAACTGTCTACTGCTTTTCAACAGTTGGGTTTTTATGGGTCTAAAACCGACCCCTCACTTTTTATCCTTAAATCTCCGGGCTCTCTTATCTACCTTCTGGTATATGTTGATGACATCATCATCACCGGTAACAACTCCACTGCTATCGCCACCGTCGTTGACCAGCTCCATACWCTCTTTGCTCTTAAAGATATGGGGCAGCTACAYTATTTTTTGGGGGTCGAAGTTGTTCACAAAGGGGCAGACTTAGTTCTCTCACAACGGAAATATGTTTGTGAGATCTTACACCGTGCTGGCCTTGCAGACTGCAAACCRATTGCTACTCCAATGAGCACCTCTCAAGTATTGTTACCAAATGATAGCCCATTACTCGATGATCCCTCTCGCTATAGACAGACCGTCGGGGCTCTTCAGTATGCTACCCTTTCTCGTCCTGATATCGCCTTTACAGTCAATAAAGTTTGCCAGTTCATGCATGCTCCGACTGAAAATCATTGGGCCAGAGTAAAACGGATCTTACGTTACCTCAAGGGCACCATCAATTTGGGTTTGTGGATTCGTCACAACACGGGCTATCAGCTTCAAGCCTTTTCTGATTCTCATTGGAACCAAAATCTTCAAGCTTACTCAGACTCTGACTGGGGTGGTTGCCCAATCGATCGTCGATCCACGGGGGGATATGCTATCTACTTAGGCTCGAATCTTATTTCTTGGTCTGCTCGCAAGCAGAAAACTGTCTCTCGATCTTCAACAGAGTCCGAGTATAAGGCCATTGCAGATACTGTTGCTGAGTTGATTTGGCTGAAGTCTCTTCTTCAGGAACTTGGATTAAATAGCAAGGCTCCTACTCTTTGGTGTGATAATCTTGGCGCAACATATCTCACAGCTAATCCTGTCTTTCATGCCCGTACCAAGCATGTTGAAGTAGACTATAACTTTGTTCGTGAACAAGTTACTCAAGGGAAACTAATTGTCAAGTTCATCTCTACAGACGACCAAATTGCTGATATTTTTACAAAGMCCTTGCCTTCTCAGAAGTTTGAGTTTCTACGGTCCAAGTTGCAGATTGCTAACCGCGCTGAACTTGCGGGGGAATGTTAGACTAAGTCAACTAGTCTAGTTTATATTATTAATATTGTCTAGGGTCCAAAGTGTAATTAGTTTTACCTATATAAGGTGTATCAGATTATTATTATTTTTCAATCAATACAATCAATATCAAGTTTTATATCTGGTGGCCATGAAAAGCTTGGATATAATTACCAGTGACCTCCTTCAAAAGATCCTCACCATAAGGCATAGCAGGCTGAGAATTTCATATTCAATTGTTCTTGCTTGACTTATTGACTCAATGGACCCTTAAATTAGTCATACATCTTGAGTGCTCGATGTATGTATTTTGATCTAGTAATGCCTCCTAGATCGTTGAGATTCACACCAAACTCAAAGAAATTAAACATGGCATCAACACTGTCACCGAATATTTTCGGATCTACAGGACTTATGGCAAGAACTCGACTTGTATCTCAAAACCACACCTCTATGCACTGATTGCAGCATCAAATAGAGACAACAACTTGAAAGGAACGAGTCCTTGAGTTACTGACCGGATCGGACAACAATCCTGATGAAGTACAAGGACATCCGGTTAGTTGCTCACTCTTTCCTGATAAGGAATTGGCCTTTTCTGAAGTTTGTCGTGAAGAAGTACGTAGTTGGCTCATGCTTACTACCTCAGAGGCTCGAAATTCTCAACCTGTAGAGATCATAGATCTCTCTACATAGATCTCTGACAGATCTAATCTTAATCATGGACCAAACCGCCAAGGTGCAAGGCTCTGGTGCGATCATTGTCAATGACATGGCCACTCTTGAACCACTTGCTGGGAACTTAATGGAAAACCAGCCAACTGGGCTTCGTGACGCCCCAACGAAAGAAAGGCCTACCAAAGTCAAGCAAGTAGCAACACTAACAAACATCACCTCACCCTCATTCAGCAAGGAACAAATTGAGCATTTGTATACACTTCTGGATGCATCATCTATGAATTCTACAACTAGTTATGAGGCTCACAGTGCCTCATGCTTTAGTTGTACACTACATTAATTTTTCCTCGACTCTCAAACACCTTGGATAATTGATTCAGGTGCCTCTGATCAGGTTAATATCATTTATTTGATTCATACAATCCCTGTTTTAATAACTCTAGTATCAAAATTGCCGATGACACAATCTCTTCCGTTGCTAGAATCGGTGCAATTAGATCATCTGCTAAACTAATTCTTAAATATGTCACTTATGTTCCTTCTTTGAAGTGTAATTTGATCTCCTCCTCAACCATGACACTCTTCACCCTCCTGACTAGTGTCATATGTGGTTTCCATGAATATGCCCTAACCACCACAATCTTCCTTCTCTTAATTTAATCAAGATAGGAGCAACTCCTATCCTCCAAAAACCTCATTTAGTGTCCTATACGTACGTACATACATACATACATTGCATACATACATACATACATATATATATATATATATATATATCCTACTAGAGGTTCAAGGTAACACCCTTATACCCTTCATTTGTATGGTATGCACATGTAAATACATGTAATTGAAGATGTTTCGTGGTTTTTATGCACGTGTGTATGACAAATTACTTGCATACGGTACTGATGAATGGTTATTAAGGTGTTCCTTATTTTTTTCATTTTTTTGCGGTTTCCACTGAACCTAACCCATATAGATCTAAAAAAATTACCAAGACTAATCGACCACAAAAGAATGAGCTCAACAATAGTCAATGATATACAACAAACTCGATTATTAATGCAACCAGACAAGCATTTTATCATTTTTTTTGAAGTATATAATATTTATATATGGCAAATGCAACAAATAAACTCACACACCCTCCTCACCTATGGTGAGGTTTGAACCCTTGACCTCCTAGAAGGAAAAGGGCTACGATACCGCTAGGCCAACTTTGGTCGCAAAGACTATTAAGAGAAAATGCATTTTTAGCATTTTATCATACCAAAGACTATTAAGAGAAAATGCATACCAATACCTGATTAATTGTATCATCTGTTGCTGATGCATGACTATTTCTTGGGCCGATAAAAAGTGCCAACGAGTCTGTTTCTTCATATGAAGATCCCCCATGATTACCATTATTTTGCATACCATGATCACTAACTACTACCTGCAGATGAAATTGAAATAAGATACCTATGTGTATATATATAATATATACACACATGGAATTGATGTCAAAAAATAGATTATTAGATATACACACATACAGAGACTGTTGAAAGCATGGAGTAGAACATACACTTGAACTTCATGAAGATCAATTGATTAAGTATACAGAGTAATACGAGACTATAAGATGGAAATATACAAAAAATTCACATAACACTAAATGAACCAAGAGATTATCAGCATAAAGGAAAAAAGGGAATGCCATCTCCACTTGAAAAATTATGAAAGGTGACCATAAATCCAAGCAATATAACTTGAATTAGTAAAAGGACAAAAAATTAAACTTCAAAGAATGTTAAAAGAAAAAAAAACACTAGAATGATTGTTATGTGCATTTTATGCACCTAACTTTGTACATTTCAGTTGCGTCTTTTATGCATTTTAGTCAGTTTAGTCCTTTCATACATTTTTATTGTTCTTTCCGTTTCTTTCTCTAATCATGGTTGGAATGGCTTTTCAGAATAGTTTTTACACTTTTTGTATATTTTGTCCAGATTATACGAGGTGTTGAAAGCGATATGGTGGATGACTCGGGAGATCGAAGAGTGATTCCAAGGAGGAAGTGAAGAAAGAGGAAATATGTACCCATGATGATGACTACTTGGAGTAAAAAGTTGAGAATTTGAAGATTGGAGATTCCGCCACGCTTCGCGACCCTGAAGGTTATCCTTCGCGAGTATTATTTGTGGGAAAATGTAAAAATGTAAATGATTATGTATTTAATGTAGGAGTGATAAGAGCCGAATATAATCCCATAATATTAGTGATTGTAGGCAATCCCATAAAATCAGGGATTCATAGAATAGTTTCCTTCCTCTTTCCCTTTGCCTTGTGTATTTATATTGTATGTTTCTCTGTCAAGAATGAATAAGAAACATAGCAGAATTCCTAAATCTGTTATGGTATTAGAGCTATAGAAGCTTGGAAAGCCTTTTTAGCCTCCATAAACCTTCTTTGAAAATTTTGCAGGCCTTTATTGCCTCCCTCCTTTGATTCCTGTTTTGTGGCCTTCATTGCCAACAATTCCTAACCCAGCACCGAAAGAATGACATAACCCAAATCAGAATATGCCATAACCCATGTTTCTCAACTAGGGAGATTTACAGCACATCCATGCATCATACTAAATGGTCCGAACTAGTTCGAACCATCCTGAAAGAGGAAGTGGAAAAGCTCAGGTCATTTTTCAACACTCTGAAAAAACCTTCTAGTGGTGGATACTCATTCCCAGGTACTTGTTTTTTAACCTATTCAGGTGAGCATCTGATGGAAAACACAAATTGATTATCAAATTAAGAAGGATAATGGAAGAAAGTGGATATCTATGATTGAAATGGAAATTGGAAAGAAATACAATAATGGAAATGAACCAGGGAATCCTCCCTCTCTCTATGCACTAAAGCAAGAGCCAATACAAAAACTAGGAAAACATTCTCTACCCCAATACGATTGACCTCCTCCCTTAAATAGAGGCAGACACTCTCTCCCCTAACTAACTATTAGCCACTTTCCTTTTCTGCCTTTTTGGGCCTTCTAGAATATACCTTAAGAATACTTGGTTTATTCTTATTATGKTCCAGCCCAACCAAATCCGTAACATTACCCTGCCCTTCCAGTGAAGTCTTGTCCTCAAGACTTGCTTCTGGAAATTGACTCTTAATAGTCATTGCGTCCTCCCATGTTGCTTCTTCCACAGGGCGATCCTTCCATTTAATCAACCATTGTACACTTGATTCGTTATGAACATTAACTGTACGAACTGCTTGAATCGAGTCTGGAACTAGTATATCAAAAGAATTAGTTTCCAATTCGGGTGGAAGGTTTTGCTCCACTGAATTCGACATCACTGCCTTTTTGAGTAACAAAACGTGAAAGACCGGATGTACTCTAGAAGACGCAGGCAGCTCTAGTTTATATGCTACCGGACCAATTCGAATTACGATCTTGAAAGGCCCAAAATAACGAACGGCTAACTTCTGATGGATTCGGCGCACCACGGTCAACTGTCGATACGGTTTCAACTTCACATAAACCCATTCGCCAACATTAAAACTCACCTCGTGCCTTTTTTTATTTGCCTGTTCTTTCATTATCGCCTGAGCATGCGATAAATGTAAATTAAGTTGTTTTAATGCTTCATCTCGATCCCGTAACTCTTGGCTCACAGCTTCTACCCGGATCTCCCCTGGAATAAACTGAATTACAGTGGGTGGTTTTCGCCCGTAAACTGTTTCAAATGGCGACTTTCCAGTTGATCCGTGAAAAGTAGAATTATACCAAAATTCCGCCCAAGGAATCCATATGGACCACGAACTAGGTTGGTCAGTTGCAAAACATCTCAAATATGTCTCCAAGCAACGATTGATAATTTTAGTTTGACCGTTTGATTCTGGGTGATACGCCGAACTCATACGTAACTGAGTTCCTTGTAGACGGAAAATTTCTTGCCAAAACTGACTAAGAAACAATGGGTCACGGTCGCTAACGATCGACTTGGGAATTCCATGATGACGCACCACTTCCCGAACAAAGATGTCAGCTATTGACCTTGCTGTATATGGGTGTTTTAGAAGAATGAAGTAGCTGTATTTCGAAAGACAGTCTACCACCACCAAAATCGCGTCAAAACCTTTCGACTTAGGTAAGCCCAAAATGAAGTCCATTGAAAGATGTTCCAAGATCGTCTCTGGAATGTCCAAGGGCTGCAAAAGACCCCCTGGTGAGGTCAAATCTGACTTACAACGTTGGCACACGTCGCACGACTTCACAAATTGTTGCACAGCAGCTATCATTCCTGGCCAATATAGATTAAGTGCTAAACGACGATAAGTTCGATAATACCGGAGTGCCCTCCGGAACCTGATTCATGGAATTCTTTGATTAAGGTGGCAATAAATTTCGATGTACAAGGAATCACCAAACGACCCTTATAATAAAGTATTCCAAGTCGAACGGTGTAACCCGAATGAGAATTCGGATCGTGTTGCAATTCTTGAATTATCTTTTGAATAACAGCATCCTTACGGGCTTCTTCAATAAGTTGAGCCCCTTGGACCCAAACTGGACAGGATAGTATCGAAGTCAACTCACCTTCCTCGACGCTTCGTGATAATGCATCAGCAGCCCTATTTTCTCGTCCTGGCTTATAACAAATATCAAACTGGTAACCAAGTAATTTAGCCACCCAGTTTTGTTTCCCCGGGTTAGTAATTTGCTGCTGTAATAGAAACTTTAAGCTTTTCTGGTCAGTGTACACCGTAAAACATGTTCCCAATAAGTAAGCTCGCCAGTGTTGAACCGCCAATACCAAAGCCATGATCTCTCTTTCATAAGCCGACTTGGATAAATTACGTTCACTCAAAGCCTTGCTAAAATAAGCAATGGGACGTTGTGCTTGCATTAAAATTGCTCCGATTCCTTTACCCGATGCGTCACATTCAACTATAAATGGTTGAGTAAAATCAGGAAGTGCCAAAAGTGGAGCCGTAACCATGGCGGCTTTGAGTGCTTCAAAGGCTTGTTGAGCTTCCAAATTCCAACAAAAAGCATCCTTCTTTGCGAGGTCCGTGAGCGGTTTTGCAATGCTACCATAGTGGCGAATAAACTTCCGATAATATCCCGTAAGACCTAAAAATCCCCGTAATCCTTTTAGTTGTTTTGGAACGGCCAATCCAAAACAGACTCGATTTTTTTGGGGTCCATTGACACTCCTTTGCCGCTTATAATATGACCCAAGTAATCAATGGATGATTGCCCAAACGAACACTTTTTACGATTCACCACAAATTGATTCTCGAGTAAAACGTGTAGCACCACCGTTAAATCCTCCATATGTTTTGACCAAGTGGGGCTATAAATAAGGATATCATCGAAGAAAACCACAACAAATTTACGTAGAAAGGGCCGAAAAATGTCGTTCATAACAGACTGAAAGGTAGCCGGCGCATTGGTGAGCCCAAACGGCATCACCAAATACTCATAGTGACCGTCATGGGTGCGAAACGCTGTCTTATCAATGCTGTTCGGCTGCATTCTGATTTGATTATAACCGGACTTCAAATCCAGTTTAGAGAAAAAAAAATGCACCCTTCAATTCATCAATAAGTTCCTCGACTACTGGAATCGAAAACTTATCCGGTATCGTGGCTTTGTTGAGAGCACGATAATCCACACACATCTGCCACGATTGATCCTTCTTTTTGACCAAACATGATTGGGCTGGAAAATGCGCTTTTACTTGGTCGAATCATACCAAGATTCAAAAGTTCTGCAACTTGCTTCTCAATTTCAGCCTTTTGTATGTGGGGGTGTCTATACGGTCCAACACAAATGGGTTCATGAGACTTGATTAAAGAAATTCTATGATCGTGAGCACGCCATGGAGGTAATCCTGTTGGATCCCGAAATACATATGAAAAACGATCAAATAAGGATAGTAAATCCTGTTGTTGTGCTAAAGATAACTCCTCCTGTTCCTTTTGACCCGACGAAACAGTATTCGGAAGACGGGCCTGAGAAGGATTGTCGAGTGACAACCACAATTGAAGAGAAGCTTGGGAAACTTGAACTTTAGATAAACCTTGGATGCACACTGACTTCCCTTGAAATACAAATTTCATGGAAGACTGTTCCCAGTTATGGATCACTTCTCCCAAGGTCTTAAGCCATTCCATGCCTAAAACCATGTCCAAATGTCCCATTTCAAAAGCTAGAGCCTCCATCTCGAAGTCACATGTCCCCACTCGTACTTTAAGGTGCGTACAACGTTGGTTAATAAAGATTTTATGGCCATCACCTAGCAGGATGTTGATGCCGTCAAAAAATTCGGAAGATAACCCTAACATGGTCACCAATTACTGAGAGAAAAAATTATGTGTGGCTCCACTATCCACAAAAATCACCACTGGAATACCTGCTATTGCCCCCTCAAACTTTAAG